CGGGGGAGGGTACTACCACCCCAACTTGGGTAGGGGTGTGCCGCCAGGACCTCAAAACCCTGACCCTATCCCAGACCTAAAATTTTGATTTTACATACYYTACCCCAGACTAAAACTAAGAATTGTACACCCTATCCCAGACTAAACCCGGTTAGTCAATAGATTGCAAACAATATTTAATAACGTTTTTATTGTTTTTGTGCCGTCAGAAAGCGTAGCCTATTCGCCAGAGAAAAACGACCAAATCGTTAACGGCGCTATCCCAGACTAAAACGACCCAATCGTAACCCTATCCCAGACAAAAATGATACCCTATCCCAGACAAAATGTCAAAAAATGATACCCTACCCCAGACCCAAAAGCCGAAAAACCATACCCTAAAGGGTGGCACATACCCGTATAGCAAATATGGGGGAGTACCCCCCCCTCCCCCCCGGGGTCTGCAAGGTACATTTGGGGGCCAGGCTTGTACACAATTTTGACATCGAACTTCTGGACCTTGAGCAGCAGTACAAAACAATGAAGCTGAGTTCAGACGTCAGCAACGCAGCAAACGACGCTTTCAAGCTTTTGTATAAGATGTCATCATGTTTTGTTCACCACAAGGTGACAGTATCGGTTCAGTCAGTTATAAACCCATCCATTTGAAGGAAACTGACAAATTAAATAAGATTCCGAAAGAGGAAAAACGTCTGAACATAGCCTCAGGAACTTAATGTAACTTAATATAACTGCAGGAAGATGTGTTATTTTTTTAGACGTAGCAACTTTTTTCAAAAGATTTATCAGCTACTAGCAAATGTTTCATTTCCTTTCAGTGCGAATGAAAATTAATCTAGGTAATCACACTGACTTTTAGATCACTAGCTTCAACGAAAGCATATTTTGCCGCATCGAGGGAATGACGAATTTCTATTGATACATTCACTTGCCCATTAAAGAAGGGGTTTTTTCGTTTGATGTGCGCTGAATCTAAATGGTAATACATGTTAATAAAATCGGCAGTATAAACAAAATTACCAGTACGTTCATCCCGCCGCATCAGTCGGCGGTCAACATGCTTTATGACGATGTTTTTTGGCGATGAACGATGGCACTGCGCGAATTCCACGCCGCACCCGTAACATTTTCTAACGTTTCCAGGGAGGACCACTAGTTCATGTGGATGAGGCGAAAGCCCTGAATGCTATCCCCCAATATAACCCAGGAACAACCTGAGATTTTGAATTTACTTATGTATAAAATTCCTTTGTGTCTTGCAATGCTTTATCACAGGTTACAGTGTTACCCGCACCCACATCATTTACCCGCGACCAAAAGTCAAACTCCTCTGCGTATATTTGGTTTTAATTGCTTTTGATCTACGGTGCTAATTGYTTCCGGTTTTAGTGCTACATAGTCTATACTTCTTTGACAGCGTGCGTTGCGCTTGCTTTATTTGCCTGACATTGCAGGGCAAAATGGTTCCTCTTTCCACACAACTGACACGTTTTACCCCATGCAGGACAATTATTCCGGTCTTGCTTGTGTTTTCCTCCACAATAAAAACACTTATTTGTCGGTTTACTTTGGGTTCCAGTGTTATTGTCACGCTTCCAAGCTTGTCGTTGATATTTGCCAGATCCCTTCTTCTCYTTATGGACGTCTTCAGACGTTTTAGGATCCCTGTATTCCATGGTCTTCATCTGTGATTCCGATGCCTGTCAGGGGCGTAGCGAGGACCTAGGAGCTGGGGGTGCACTGATCCAAAATAAGAAAAAGTTTCAAATTAGACGTGCAGATTCCAGGCTCTGACCGGGCTCGCAGTGCACAGGTAGCCCGTCCGGATAACTTCGTATAAATTCGCACTTTTGTAGGTAGTAATAATTTATTTTCCTCTTTCGTTTCGGTTTAATATGTTTTTTTTGTTGTTATTCTTTTTTCAAATTTTTTTTTTCAAAAATTTTGGGGGGGCACGTGCCCCCCCGTGCCCCCCCGTGCTACGCTACTGATGCCTGTATTCCATGGTCTTCATCTGTGATTCCGATGCCTCATCACTGCATCATCATTATCCTCCAAGCTGCATTCTTATGTGAAGGTTAGAAAACTTAAAAAGTCTGACCATAAACTTAATATAAAGAGAATAAGCTTCAATAAAGTCGCAGAACATGAAAAGAAGCTTTTGCTTAATTGTTTTAGGAGGGTTTATCAAGGGATAATGAAATTAAAATATAGAGCTACTCGGTATTTATCATTGTTTTCTTGGAAGAGACTGAAGGTAATGAGCTGGTATTTTGACAAAATTCTGGACAATAATGTGTTGCAATGAGTTTGTGCTCTTTGATTTACAATAACAAGCAAGGAGTTAATTCTACCAAACGTTCGGAATTAGTTGAAAGGATTTCGAGGCATTGTGATTAACTTCGGAACCAATCAGCAATCATCATCAATAATAAACAATTTGATTCGAAACAATGAACAAACATCGGAACCAATCAACGCTTGAACAACAAAATCTCGCTGTACTCCGATTATTGCTGAGGGGGATGACGATGACGGCCTTGGAACCTCGTGGTGGGAGACTTGACTGTTCATGGTTGATTGTTCAAAAGGCCTACCCCGGGTCCATAAGTCGCCTTAAATCGCCTTAAATCGCCTTAAAATGCCTAAAGTTGCCTTAAAATGCCTTAAGTTTGATCTTTTCAGACTTATTTTTTTCATTTTTGTTTTCATTACTTCTATCATTCATGCATTCATGCATTATTTGACCACCATTACCAGAATGCTTTGCAAATTCCCTCGTGAGAAAARTAAGAAAATTGATGAAATGAACAAAACAAAGGAATTCTGGTAGCAGAGGTTCATGACACCACGATGCAAATGTCCTAGCTATTATAGTGGAGCACTCAGTCATATGAATAATAAAAAACTGGCATAAACTTGACATATAATATTATGTAAATATTTAAGAAATGTCACTTAGAGTACAAACACAAGTGTGTAACATAAATACCACTAAATAATAAATTATGCTAATCCTATTATTTCCTATTGTTTAATTAGCACTATTTACTACTGAGTAGCTATTACCAATACCTGTTTCAGTATTATATTGTAAATAACTTTGAAAAATTATGGTAATAAAGCTAACTCATCAAGGGCGAATCCAGAGTTTTTTTGAAGGGGGGTCTCAGGGGTAAATTTTGTGGGCAAAGGAATCCCAGTCGCATTTTTACCACAAGAAGTCTCAGGAATGACAGGGGGGTCGCGACCCCCCCGACCCTCCCCTGGATCCGCCCTTGCTCATCATCATCATAATCATCATCAAGTGTTGCACACTTTTAGTGTTTGTACTCTATAATCATATATATAATAACAAACTGATATATACTCATAATATGAAAATAAACAGATATAATATGTAAATAATATTAAGACATATGCTATATATGAGCAGCCAGAATACCTCGCTGATATAAGCTGCCATACTAAGTTTTATTTATCTCTGTTGGGTCATTTGATGTTAGATAATATTAAAATGGATAATGTTTTAAAATTCTATAAGTCTTAATGTATTTTGAAGTCAATCTTGCTAAAATATGTGGTTTTTGGTAAATAAGAATATTTGATTTTCCAACCAATACTTTTTTGACTGAGATTACTGAGGTTCTTAGAAAGTTTAACTTTATATTTTTTGCAACTCATCTTTAAATTTGGCTCAGAAAATTAAAAAAGTAAGCATATGTATATGAATAATGCTGGAACTTTAAGGCCTAGAAATACACATACACTTGTATACCTAGACACATTTGACTTTATTAATGAAAGCTTTTACTATGTTTGATAAATAAGTCGTACTTTACAGGCAGATCGAGAACATTCTATAACATTATCTACTCACTTGCGAGCTAACGCCATGCAGCCATAGGAATTAAAGTCCCTTCATTCCGATCACTTTCACATTCTCATGCAGCTCACCCTAGTTTATAGCTAGTCATCTCCTCCATTTTAGTGGTGTTATTACACTGACTATTGTAATGCGCTGTGAAATTCAAAGAAAACAAACCATCCGAAAAGCGCCATTCACAAARCAGTATAACATTCGCCATTTGGAAATATTTTGGCACGCAAGGAACTAGCTGTGGTTGTAATTACAACTTCTCGCCCCAGATTCTCTCTGTTGTAGGTCTTCCAAATGTTGGYAGAGAGGGAGGGGTGGGTTTGGATAATATAAAAGATAGGATGTTCTTCGTCGGTAAAGGCAGTAAGTTACAACAAGAAAAATTTCTCAAGTTTGGAGGAGTAGTCGCAGCCGACAAATGGGGTGACGTGACCTTTAAAGAGGGCTTGCAGAGCATGAAATTGCCCGGACTTCCAGATCAAACTGTATCAGTTTCGATGGAGTGGATCACTAGCTGCATTGCCGATAGGAAGATTCTTCCTACGGTTTCGTACGAGGCAAGAAATCAAAAGGTCCTTTGAAGCCTCTTTTAACACTCTTTCCGCCATAGTCATACTCGCGGGATTCGGGACCTTTTGAGACTTTTACGGGAAGTGTACTTGAAAGCTTGAAAAGACTGGTAACGAACAAAATGGCGGATTTCTTGTGGATGTTGAAAAAGTCAGCAAGAGGACGAGAAAGACGTACGCTGTGTCAAATACACCTTCCAAGTTTTTTTTATCAACCAAAGAAGTAGTAACAAATGCTTTTGAGTCTCGACGATTGTCAGAAGAAGTGTTTGAATTCAGAAAAAAGCTTGCTTATGGAAGCTGATATGGATTGGGAGTATTTTGCTGGTTAAGGTCTCACGTAAAAGCATCAAATAGGATGGGTTCCTGAGAAGGAAAATTAAG